GGTGAGTGGTAATAAATATGACTAATCTGCATTTGAACTTGGGTAAGCAGCCTAAACAGGGGTATCCTACCATCTTCGACCACTCCTACATCATGATTAAGAGCTGAGCTGTATGAGCTGTTTTTAGCCGTTCGTATTTATTTATGGAAATAAAAATGATGTCAGCCAAAGGCGAGAGAGGCACAACCCAGTTTGTACACAGGAGCAATTTACTGTAACCAAGTCTCAAAATTTATTCTAAAACAAATATTTAAAGGAAAGTTTCAAATAGTGTTTTTTACAGTGGGGCAAAAAAGTATTTAGTCAGCCACTGATTGTGCAAGTTCTCCCACTTAAAATGATGACAGAGGTCAGTAATTTCCATCATAGGTACACTTCAACTGTGAGAGACAGAATGTGAAAAAAAAACCATGAATTTACATGGCAGGATTTTTAAAGAATTTATTTGTTAATCAGGGTGGAAAATAAGTATTTGGTCAATAACAAAAATTCAACTCAATACTTTGTAACATAACCTTTGTTGGCAATAACAGAGGTCAAACGATTACTATAGGTCTTTACCAGGTTTGCACACACAGTAGCTGGTATTTTGGCCCATTCCTCCATGCAGATCTTCTCGAGAGCAGTGTTGTTTTGGGGCTGTCGCCGAGCAACACGGACTTTCAACTCCCTCCACAGATTTTCTATGGGGTTGAGGTCTAGAGACTGGCTAGGCCACTCCAGGACTTTCTAATGCTTCTTACGGAGCCATTCCTTTGTTTCCCGGGCGGTGTGTTTGGGATCATTGTTGTGTTGGAAGACCCAGCCACGTTTCATCTTCAAAGCTCTCACTGATGGAAGGAGGTTTTGGCTCAGAATCTCACGATACATGGCCCCATTCATTCTGTCCTTAACACGGCTCAGTCATCCTGTCCCCTTAGCAGAAAAACAGCCCCAAAGCATGATGTTCCCACCCCCATGCTTCACAGTAGGTATGGTGTTCATGGGATGCAACTCAGTATTCTTCTTCCTCCAAACACGACGAGTTGAGTTTATACCAAAAAGTTCTACTTTGGTTTCATCTGACCACATGATATTCTCCCAATCCTCTGCTGTATCATCCATGTGCTCTCTGGCAAACTTCAGACGGGCCTCGACATGCACTGGCTTCAGCAGCGGAACACGTCTGGCGCTGCAGCATTTGATTCCCTGCCGTTGTAGTGTGTTACTGATGGTGACCTTTGTTACTGTGGTCCCAGCTCTCTGCAGGTCATTCACCAGGTCCCCCCTTGTGGTTCTGGGATTCTTCTCACCGTTCTCATGATCATTTTGACCCCACGGGATGAGATCTTGCGTGGAGCCCCAGATCGAGGGAGATTATCAGTGGTCTTGTATGTCTTCCATTTTCTGATAATTGCTCCCACAGTTGATTTTTTCACACCAAGCTGCTTGCCTATTGTAGATTCACTCTTCCCAGTCTGGTGCAGGTCTACAATTCTTTTCCTGGTGTCCTTCGAAAGCTCTTTGGTCTTGGCCATAGTGGAGTTTGGAGTCTGACTGTTTGAGGCTGTGGACAGGTGTCTTTTATACAGATAATGTGTTCAAACAGGTGCCATTAATACAGGTAACGAGTGGAGGACAGAAAAGCTTCTTAAAGAAGACGTTACAGGTCTGTGAGAGCCAGAGATTTTCCATGTTTGAAGTGACCAAATACTTATTTTCCACCCTGATTTACAACTAAATTATTTAAAAATCCTGCCATGTGAATTCATGTATTTTTTTCACATTCTGTCTCTCACAGTTGAAGTGTACCTATGATGTAAATTACTGACCTCCGTCATCATTTCAAGTGGGAGAACTTGCACAATCAGTGGCTGACTAAATACTTTTTTGCCCCACTGTAGGTATAGATATCTTTCAAAAACGTATTTACAGTTTTTGTTCTTTGTGGCATGACTAGGCTGAGAATCACTGCCCTGCTGGGTTACACAAGTTCAAGTTTTTATTGTACTTTGTTTTTTAGAGCTTTATCTTGCTCTGGTATAATAAAATGACTCCCAACAATCTGCAATGAGCATTAGCTCACAGATGGCAGCTCAACACTGTTTGCAAACTGAACCAAATTCCATTTTGTCTCAAGTATGCCAGCCAGTGAGAGGATAAAACAACAATGAACCAATGAATGTGTGAAAATGAGCCAGAGCCAGAGGCAGAGACACACAATAACATCCCCTCTTTGACAGGACCAGACTACCTTGGGAAGCCTGGCAGGTCATCTGAAAACATCAAAGCATGATGGGAAAATACCAGAGTCTGCGTTGTGTAAAGTGTGTATCTGCTGTGATCAGACAGTGTTTTCAATGTAAATGCCCTAAATGGCCTTTGGATACTGGATTTGGAAACCCTTTAACAAACAGTGACTCAGTACCGCCTCCTGTTGACATGAAAGGGATTTAGCACATTTGCCCATTTTACGCTGCTTAAACTCCACAACAGCAGCAGTAGCAGTACGTGTAGGAGCAACAGAACCCTGTTCAACATGGGATTTGATCACATATTAGATTCAAGCTAAAATTCATATAAATCTGAATCACAACAGTAAATGATTAAGTTAGTTTTCTGGTCCTGTAGAATCCTTCATTTAGATGGTTGTTTTCTTTCCTGTTTTCTGCACTCTCAATAACTAAGTTGCATGAAGTTGAATGAATGAATGAAAATGAAATGAATGAATGAAAATGAATGAATGAAATGAATGAAAAGCTTTATTTGTCCCAGGGAAGGGAAATTAGAGTTTCAGTACAAACAATTCAGAGATCAGACATACTGGGCAAGACACATGACAAGAATTGGTGACTGTGGTCATTCGCAACCGAGTCGTGCTACCTTAATAGAGAGAGAAAAGGATAACATGAGGAATGGATTTGGGAGGAGGGGAAAAAAAGGCACTTCACAGCTGCTCTCCCCCCAGGAGGGCAGCTTTGCTCTGTGAAAAAAACACCTCAACAGATAAGCAACAGATAACACAACACAACATCACAATAGGAAGACGGGGGGGCTGGGATCCTGTTTCCCCCAGCGAGAGCAGCCATGTACGGCACTCAACCACTGTAGACCACAGGTGGGAGGGAGATCTTGGGAGGAACGCAGAGCACATTGACCCTACAGGTTGATGACCTCGCTAGGCAGAAGTCCACAATCTGAATGCGGGGGGGGGGGGGGGGGGGGGGGGGGGGGGGTTTCACAGCATCTGTCTGCATTTCTTCCTTCGTGGGGGTTGTTCTTGTTGGCATCTTGAAGGCTGCCTTGGCGTCAGATTTGGATAACAAGACTTTGTTTGGGACAGGCAGAGATCATTTTCCTCTCTGCCTTCTGTCTGTAACTGGTCATTCCAGTCCTTCAGTGAAGCCAGTTTAGGTTTCAAACATCTCCACACCGTCCGGTGACCCTCTCCGAGATGACATCCATTTTGCGCACTAACACTGGTAACGCAGCTAGGACATTGTCCAGCTTATGGTTCACCTCGAGTAACGACCCAGTCTGTGAGGTCTCCTCCCAAGAGACTGAATACATGTACCACATTTCATATTTGCACATCATTTGAGACAACTGTTATTTAAGATGGAAGTGCACTGAAAGAAAAAGTCTGTTGGATTTACATAACTGAATCATGTACATCACTTGCATGAAATTAGATTATAAGAACAGGAAATGATCATGTCCTAATTACATGTAGTAAACATAGTTTACACAAAATACATTCACATCAATTATAAAACCTAACTAAAGCCTTTTTTCAGTGTGTCTGTACCCCTATCTGTCTCTAGACCATGTAGCACATGTTCCTTGTGATTTCCATAGCTGTCATTCCAGTTAGAGGCACTACTGAGTGTTGTTTGAACCCCACTGTACCACTATCCTCTTCAGTGATGGTTTTTGTTTTTGCTCACTATCGTTTTAAAAACGATACAAAAGTTTTTTTTAGCACATGTACATTTCATTTCATTTATAATACTTTAAACGTGAATTGAACCCTAACTGTAATCATTGTATTTATTTCAATTTTCAACATTAGAAAGAGCTTGGCATGCTGGGAAATCTGTTCCATCCAAACAGTAATCAGCGAGCTCAATCATGAACGCAAACTTTTCATGTTACCTCAAAAAGAAGGAATCCCATATAAACCACATTGTGCCCTTGTTAGCATTACAAAAGTGAATCATGTTCATCTTACAAACTTGACCCAATTACGCAGAAATTATGTGTAAGGAATAAGTAACAATGCCCTTCTAACTGGTCTTCCAACCTGTACTGTGAGACCTCTTCAAATGGTCCAGAACGCAGCGGCGCGTCTGGTCTTCAATCAGCCAAAAAGAGCACACGTCACCCCTCTGTTCATTGAGCTCCACTGGCTACCGCTAGCAGCACGCATCAAATACAAATTGCTAACACTAGCATACAAAGTCCGAGATGGTACGGCTCCCATCTACCTGAATCCTCTTGCACAGGGTTACGTCTCGGCCCGGCCGCTCCGGTCATCGCAGGATTGTTTGCTAGCAGTGCATACACCATGCTCAGGACAATCCAGACTTTTCTCATGCATCGTTCCACAAATGTGGAATGACCTTCCAAGCACTACCAGAACAGTGGCTTCCTTTTCAATTTTCAAGAAACTCCTGAAGACCCTGCTCTTCAGAGAGCATCTTCTTAACTAGCACCCTCCCTGCACCCGTCCCCCCTCTCTACCGTCCACTCCTTTGTTCCCTCCTCTCCATGATTGATGTCAAGTTGTTGTTGTTGTTATTGTTGTTGTTAGCCTCAAGGGCAACATGCCAATTATCACTTGTAAGTTGCTTTGGACAAAAGCGTCTGCTAAATACAAAAACATAAACAAATCTTGGACAACCTTTAGGCCTAACTTGTTGGGTATTCATTGTCTTTGACTATTTGTTAATATTTCTGTGTGAAACCCAATAAGAATAGTTGTTTTGTAACCTTTTCTTGGTTTGTTTTGTGTCCCACAGTTGTTGCAGAATGAAGATTGACTCCAACCTGACCATTCCCCAGCCTCCAGAGGCCCTGTCCCAAGCTGGCCTTCAGTTTGATGTAGCTACTGAAGAGGACTTTGATGAAATTATGGCAATGAGCCAGCACATTTACGGGGGGCTGGACTACCTCCCTACCAGATACATTAGCTGGCTGCAGGAAACCAACCGCACAGTTATAGTGGCTCGTAAACAGGGCAAAGTGGTAAGCCTAATCAAAAGCATATATAAATGCACACACACATATTTTTATTTTATTTACTTATTTATTTATTTATTTATTTATTCCCTTGTCCTGTCTGGCTGTGAAGCAAACAGAATTGATGTCTGAATGCTGGTGACAAGCCTTACAGATTTACTCTCAGGTGGATCATCAAAGCTTCTGCTTTTAATGTCACACCTTAAAACTTTATTGTTATTGTTTTTTGAATGCTTTGTAATTCTGACACGGAGATAGAGGTGAAAGAGAAGGGGTGGGGTGGGGGTGGGGGGGGGTGGGGGGGTGCAGAGAACGCCTTGGGATTCCCCCTGAAGAGCTGGCCCAAGTGGCTGGGGAGAGGGAAATCTTGGTCTCTCGCCTTAGACTGTTGCCCCGTGACCCAACTCCAGCTAAGCAGAAGAAAATGGATGGATGGATGGATGGATGGATGGATGGAAGCTAGTTAGAGAACTATGCTCCTGCTTGCCCCTCATAGAGTAAGTAGGGTGACATTAAACTTTATGCCAAGAATCGACATGAGTCCCCGATCCACATCACCAGCAACAATGTTTGAATGTCACTCAGACAGGAAAAATGTGGTTGAACTACACTCATGGGAAGCACTTTGATCACAACAGAAGGGACTGAATGAGTTGGAAGAAACACTGAAGAGGTTCAAGGCAGCTACAAGAACCTTGGGCCATCAGATAATCCACAGGTGTAATAAAGACAAGAAAGATTTTTAATAGCCCAGGCCAGCACCTTAAGAGTGGACTCAGGGAGAAAGGAGTGAGGCTGAGGACTAGTGAGCATCAGGACAGCTATGCAGACTGAAACACCTGAAAAACCTATCAGTTAGAAAGACCTCAATAATGTACTGCTAAGGGAATGTCTCAGAGGGAAGAAACCCAATGTGGAGAAGAAGAAGCAGGAGGGACCATCATGGAGGGATTAGACCCTGGAGAATAAAAACCAGTAGAGAAATTCAGATCATAGTAGCACAAGATGAGGTTTACCACACCAGGCAGGACCCATGTTGTTCTACAGAAGCATGTGATTGGCTGGCAGAAGGATGGGACTGTCTCCTGATCAGGAATGTCCGTCCTTGAGCTTCAACTTACTTACTACTTCAAATGCTGTCGGCCACATCATTAAAGAAATAATAAACCAATGCACACATCTCCTAACTTTTATGTCTAGAGTGTGTGTGTTTATATGTATTTATGATCTTTGCAGAAGCTGATACAAATATGATGCTGTGTATTATTAATGTGTGAAGTTGTGACACAGGGTGAATGATTGAGGAGGTGTTTCCTTCGTCTATCTGGCAGATTGCTCTGGAGTCGGTTTGTGTGATAGATGACGGGGAGACCATGCTGGTGGAAGGTCTTCGTGTTGCTCCTGAAGAACGGGGGAAGGGTGTGGCAGGTGTTCTGCTGCGTTTTTGCTCTGAGCTGGTCAAATCCAAGTATCCAGATGTTAAAGTAAGCCGCTTGACCCGGGATGATCAGCTTAGACCCAAGGACTTCCAAAAGTATCGCATCATAACTAAGCAGGTACAACCAACAAAAGCAGATGAAACAGCTTCTCTTCGTCTTCAAGATGGCTTCATAAATTAGTCAGTGTGTTTGCTCTTCTTTTCTTCTAACCCCAACATTGTTTTTGTTCACAGGGCATTCTGCTGGTTCGCTTCAGAGCTGAAGATCTCAAACTGAGACTCTCTGACATTACTTTGCACGACAGCATCTATCCCTCTTTGTCTACATCCTCATCCAGTCCCCCTCCTGTCCGTCTGGATCATGAATCCATTCACCAGCTGTATCTGCGCTCTGACCTGATGAAGGGGCTCCTCCCTAATGCCACAGTCATTCAGGACTGGCAGCCCTTCAAGCTTCTGCCCAGTAACTTCACCATCCTGCTGAAGAAGGACATCGACTGGATGGTGAATGATGTGTCCAGTCCCACGGTGGCTAGCCTCTGCACCTTCCCCTTCAAGGTGCCCATCGGAGATAACTGGTAATCATCTTTCATTTGTTCAGAAAACCAAGATTTCGTTTGAGAAAAGCTGCCTTCGCAGAAGACGGACTTTAACTTCTCTCTAAACTGCTAGGTTACTGCAGGGGTGTTAGTGGAGAAAACAACATAAAACAACAACGGAAACAATAATAATGATTATAATTAGGGATGCACCGATACCGATACTGGTATCGGCGCCGATGCCAATACCAGTATCGGTATCGGTAAAAGTTAACCGATACCAATGCAGTTGCTTGAAAATGGCTTCACTGTAACTTGTCATTTCTGTTCACCTAATATTTTAGTTTTGTGATGATTTACATTCATATATTTTACTTTTTATCTACCTCACAGTCTTTTCCTGTTGAAAGCAGAGAAGAAAATAAAATCTGTATTCCAAATCATTACATTTTTTTTGTGTGGTGGAAGTATCGGTATCGGTAATCGGCATCGGCGAGTACTCAGATCCAAGTATCAGTATCGTATCGGTTTGGAAAAAAGAGGTATCGGTGCATCCCTAATTATAATATCAGCAAATTATTGTTTTGAGAGGATTTAGTGTGCTGTTACAAGCTCTTAATGTGAAGGATTAAAGGAAGTTCTCTCTCTCATTGGTGCTGCTGTGGGAGAACAGACTACCAGAACCCTCAGTTAGACAAAACCAGGACAGAGTTGGGTCCTAGAGCTCTATGTGGTTCACTTCCTCTGGCTGGACTTAACTTTGACTTGTTTCTCAAAATTTCCAATTTATCACATAGTTGGGAAACAACCACATGATCTTCTTCTAAGTAAAGAACCTCAGAGTGTATAGCTGCGTCTGCTTTTCCTCTAACAGATTGAATTATTCACAAAGGCACCTGAGCTTCTGGAAATAATTAGCTGAAGAATAAAACATTAGCCACATTTAATAATAGAAACCATACTCCCAGGCTAGAGTTTCTAAATTCCTAACATTTCCAGGAGCAAAAACAGATTTCTAAGAAAGTAGAAAAAGCCTCATTTTTAGAACTTTATCTTATTTTTAGCATAAAAAGTAAATGCATTTTTCAGAAAATGATTTAAATAAGGTAAATATTCTAAAATATGATCCAAAGTTTCTTGTTTTGAGTAAAAAAATCTGCCAATAGGGTAAGCAAACGTTGCTTTCGTAGAATTTTTAAAACTAGCAAAATAATCACATTTTTTATTTATTTGCTAGTTTTAAGAATTCTAACCAAGCAACTTACCCTACTGGCAGATTTTGTCATGACTAAAGGCTTTTTTTTTAACAATATTAGACGCCAGTTTTCACAGTGTAGAATAACTGCGTTTCTTTTGTGGTGTTATTGATCTTTACTAATTCTTGACTTGTCGATAATCAGCTGCAGCTTTAACCACCAGTTAACTGATTCCTCTTTTTACACAGGTATTACCTGAACATTGATATGTACGGTAAAGACCTGAACTTGGTGAAGCAGCAGTTCTTAAGCCATCTAGAGTGCCACACAGCCACCTTGAAGGGTCATGTGATGTGCCAGATGTTCCTGGACCCAGCTCTCTGGAAGCCCATGGCTGATTTCTGTCACAGCGCCCTGAACGTAGAGCTGGTGAAGGAGTACACCGAACAATGTGTGGTGGAGTCAGATGCAGTCTAACTCCAGGAGATGGGTGGAAGGGTGAGGATGGTGGAGGGGGCAAAAGTATAGTAGACACAATTAGAGTCAACAGAAACACAACGCAAATGAAACCAGCTATTTCTTTAACTTTAGAATGCAGTATTTAACTTACAGATTTAAATGAGATAGAACAAAGATCAAAACATGATGCAGTCTGAGACTGGTTTGTCTCAGAGGTAAGGGGGAGGGGTCGAAGGTCAGCAGGTAATCACTAGTGCAACTTTATTCTCTCAACTTACCTGAAAACATCTGAATTCAGAGTCCTCCAGGTTTTAGTGGTTTGATCAAAACAACAATGGTGAGTCAGTGTGAGTGAACAATTAGTGTAGTGAAACAACACTAGCATACAAACATCAGCTTTTACATGACTAGCTTACTTTGGGTTAACTTCTCATGAAATAATTACATATGTGTCATAAATATGTTTGATATTAGCTTTGTTACCTGAACCCTAAAAGGCAGTGGTGAACCACGACCCCTGTTCTCTCCGACCAAGACTCTGCACACGCGTAGCTTGGTATCCCACTAAACGAAGATATTTTTCTACAGTTTGGCCTGTCATCCATATGAAAAGGAAGATGTACAGCACCAAAAAAGATTATTTCAAAAACTCTGACCACAGTGGACATTTGTAAATTCTCCGTTGTCAGCATTTGCTTGTAGACATTAATAACAGCGTTTTTTTATTGTCACTTACTGCGACAACAATGTTCTGACATGACACGTGCAACCTTTGTTTAGACTTGCTTGTTTGTACAAGCTCAGTAACTGGGGAGCTTATGGTTGTTGGAAAGGGAGAATTGGGTAAAAAATATCTGCAAACTGTATCTTGCCATTTGAACTCATGAGGTGATCTACAGACTGGTTGGAGTTCAGGTTTAAAAGCTTTTTGAAGGGAATGTCTATCCTTCACGACTGGGATGTAACAAAAGCAATCTCAAATGACAGAGCAGTGCTGTAGTAACCTGGGATGTTATCCAGGGGTTCCTTGGGAAGTTGTCTTTAAGGACATTGGCCAGATGCTGCAAGAAAATTGTAGAAATTCAGTGCAACTACACTTTACCATCTATGTAAAGATAAACTGGGTTCAGTTTTTAATATTCTTAAGACATTTTGTCAAATCATTTTAGGAAATCAAAATTCTCTGAAGAAATATGTTTTGCATATGTCACTCAACAATGTCTTACTACCACTAGCACATTGTGAATAGATGTATTTCATTTAATTTTGTGCTCTCAATGATTATGAAAAATTACGTTTAAAGCTGCAGCAAAAAGTCTGAGCCAAATGTCTGCGACCTACATGTATTTTTAACTAACATAGTTTTTATCTAAAATAATAACCTATATATTCCATCTAGGGGCTGCGTGGTGGTGCAGTGGTTAGAGCTGTTGCCTTGCAGCAAGAAGGTCCTGGGTTTGCTTCCCGGCCTGGGATCTTTCTGCATGGAGTTTGCATGTTCTCCCTGTGCATGCGTGGGTTCTCTCCGGGTATTCCGGCCTCCTCCTACAGTCCAAATAAATGACTGTTAGGTTAATTGGTCTGTCTAAATTGTCCCTAGGCGTGAGTGTGTGTGTGTGTGTGCATGATTGTTTGTCCTGTGTTGCCCTGCGATGGACTGGCTCTCCAGGGTGTACCCTGCCTAATTGCCCATTGGCCGGTGGAGATAGGCACCAGCCCTCCCCGTGACCCTACATGGACAAGCGGGTTCAGGCAATGGATGGATGGATATTCCATGTATATATCCATCTGGAATTGCTGCCAGTCTGTTAGCATGACTGCAGCAACACTGCTAACCGTGTTAGCTCCGGTAAGGAAAAATAGTCATTTGGGAAAGCTAGGACACACACACACACACACACACACACACACACACACACACACACACACACACACACACACACACACACACACACACACACACACACACACACACAGATATGATCCAAAAGATGGTCCACATATTTCAACAACAGATCCTTCTGAGACCGGTAAAGCCTTAGTGCCATCCTGGATTACTACAAACTACAAATAATAATAATAATTCTACAAATGTGAACAAATTGTACCGATTTTGGTTCTGAAGATGAACAGAATCCTCCCTGATGTCCAGATCGAGTCACGGGTCTACTGAGTCAGTCTAAAACATGGCTGCACCTCGGCATTCCAGCTAGCAGGTAGTGGGAGTTTGGTTGAACATCTCTGGTAATCCAATGTCCGTTCTCATCATCCTATCCCAGAAAAAAAAAATGAAAATCTAACCGACTAGCAGAGGTTTCAGAAGCTACACCTGACTGATTGCACTGTGTTGTCTGCTATAATGCTAACGCAGAAACACCGGAGATCTTCTAATGCCTCCACTAGCTGTTTGTGGAGTGTTCCCACGAGTGATGTCATCAGCCTGTTTGGGCTCAGATTAGAAGCCATCTTTGGTTCGAGAGCACTATTTAAAAACACTGGATTATTTTTATAATCCAGCCATGAAAAACTTTCTTCTGTAGATTTTTTAACACTGTTTTACACATGCCATTCAAAGAAATTTTGCCTCTAGCTAATTCATTAAGTGATCTTCACGAAAAACTGAAGCTGGACAACACCAGGACTAACACATTGATAACAAAATTCTTCTAACTGTCCGTGTTGGCATGAGAAGACACAGCAACAAGGCTGGCTTCTGACTGTTCCTCCTACAGTCTGACTAAGATCATACATAATTTGATTCCACAGCCGACCTACTGAGAGAAAACATTTCATTTGTTCGGTAATTCATTTGCCATCGCAAAAACCTGTGAACATTTACACAGGACTGATAGCACCTCATTGTCTTCCTAGAAACAGAGCTATAGAAAACTTCTTATTGGAGAAAAAACTTGCTACATTAAACGAAAACCTCAAACTCAAACTGAGATATTCCAAAATCTCATCTCATCAGGCCCAACTAAAGACCTAAAGGTCATCCCTTTGTGTTAATAGGTCTTGGGTAGGGATGCCCTGATACAGATACCAGGATTCGTATTGAGTTTGACACCTTATGCCTGTACTTGTACTTTACAACACTTTACAACAGCACTGCCAGAGTCGCCACTTTCACGAGCAGTCGTGACAGAGAGGGGCGGCGCCGATGGTGTAAAAGTAGCATCATCAAGAAGACAAGAGTTCTGACACTCTCATAGTCAGTAAAAACGATAAGGGGATCATGTGGTTCATGTATCGGCAACTTACTCCAAACACGCATAGCTTATATGGCTCTGTGTAATTCAAAGTGAATCAGGAAGAAAATGCTGAAGCAGAATGTAAATTTTAAAATCTGTGTTCTGGAGCCAAAGTTTGAGGGACACAGTGTTAGTCAAACTACACGTGTTTGTGTGGTGGCACATTCAAAGTTTGCTAGGAGACATATTTGCCTTTGGTGTCACAACAGATATTTGGAAAAGCAGCCTTAGTGTTAGCCCTGTACCCTTCATTAGCTTAACAGCTCAGTGGGTCAACAAATATTGAACTCTGCAGTCATTTTGCATGCAAAACTGTTTTAGGTGTCCCTTAAAAGTCAAGTTATAACAGATGTGTTTGATGATATGGTTCAGAAGTGGGGAATTACTAAAGGTCCCTTCCATAATGTGTTTCTTGATGATGCAAAAAACACGATAAAAGCCATGAGTTACGCAGGACTCCCAAACCTTCTGTTGCAGCTGGTGGTTAATGGGAGAAGTGTGGCTAATTGCAAATGGAAAATAGTCAGACATTTTAAACATTCCACCTTTAATACTATGCTATACTAATGTATTAAAACTTGGTAACTTTGATTACTCAACTGACAGTAACATCTCACAAGTTGAAAAAAATGATATTGTGCATCCCTTGTCCACAGGTTCGTTCTATGGGTTTAGGGGTCACTTGTATGGGTCTACTGGTCCCCTCTGTGGGTCTACATGTCCCATCTGTTGGTCTAGTTTTCCCTTCTAAAGGATCTAGATTTCCCGTTTGTAGTAGTAGTAGTAGTAGTAGTAGTAGTAGTAGTAGTAGTAGTAGTAGTAGTAGTGGTGATGTAATGGTCCCCTCTGTGTGTCTAGGTCGTCCGCACCCCCCATGGGCCTTTATGGTTTACCACTGCTTTAAGGTTTAATAGGAATGCAAAGCTTTCTCTCACTGATGGCAATAACTCTCTTTAAAATAGTGCAAAAACATACCAGTGTTTTTATTCCATATGTTTCTTTTGTTTTCTGTCAGAAATCCTTTAGATCATTTCAAACATTTCCATTCTGTCCTTTCTGTAAATACTGAACCTTTAAATATGTAAAAAGGCAGAGTTGGGTTACTACGACTGCACAACTTAAAAGGCACTTTATTAAAGCTATGGTGATGTTGTGTCTGCATAAAAAAAACTTTAGGATCAAGGGGAGAAAACTAACAGAGCCCATCACTACTGTTGATAGATGCAACAATCCTATTATTAGGAAAAGCAACCCATGTCTGCATACACAATAAAACTAACATGCTTAAATGTCTCAGTTAATATTTCCTTAAGTCAGACTTCTGATTCTGTATATCTCTAAAATGTTTGACTGTAAAATTCAATGTACATATAGTTCATGACGTTCACTCAGATGGTGCAATAATATTATTTTTCTCAAGCTGTTGATAAAATCAAAACCTACTTTTGTAAATTCATTACATACTTCAAAATGTTTAATATTAGCATAATATTAACATAAACATTGGTAAAAGCCACAGTTGTGTTCAGCTCCATTTTACCAAACCAAATCACATACTGGTATTGTTTTTTTTTTCTTTTATTAGTACAGCTTTTTTATGTTTAACATTCATAATCTGCTTTAATTCCAAAGCTTTTAGATCCAAACCAGTGAGCAACATATAGCCCTATTAACGGCTGATCTTTGTATTGTAGTCTTCACCCTTGTTGGACTTTAATTTTAACATACATTCACTTTAGTTTATTATGAGGGCACTTTCTAAAGACTGCACAGTGGTGCAGTGGTTACCACTGTTACCCTGCAGGATCCCAGCTGTGTGTTCGTTTTGTTTTTTAATTTAGTAGGGGCAATGGCTTGATGGTGGTTGGAGGAGTAGATGGTGGATGCTTGTAAAGGGGTCTGCTTTGGCTTTTCTCTGTACATGTTAACAACAAGCTGAAGAACAGTAGACCATGAGCTTTTCCATGAAGATGGAAAATATGGCACGTTGGTATCAGTATCTATAAATTGGTGACAACAGAAGGTAAACTCAACCTAAGGAAAAAAAATTCCAAAAAATCTTTTCATCGATCAAAACTATTTTATACACTGTATTATGGGTATATGGCCTTTAATGAAGGGCATAAAATGTAACTTATACTTAATCATAATGTTTTCCTTCTCTATGCACCTTAAAAGTAAGTGACGTGGTACCAGAACTTTCTGCAAACTCAAATTAAAGTATTGTCTTATTACAAGGTATGGTCATCAGGAAAAAAGAAATGCATTCCAATTTTGTCATAAGCTCCTTTTTGTCTTTTTCCAACTGGCTGTTCAACTGAAAACCAAAGGATATGCTCTGATGAGTGCACAGAAGGTGGCAGAACTCCGAACTGAAATTAACTAGGGACCCCTTTCCAAGACAGTGACCTCCCTGGCAAGGATCTAAATCCTTCTTTGGAAGAGAGTAAATACTTCAAACACATTAAATGGAACAACTAAAGAATTTGTTGCCAATGGTTAGAATGACTGTTACCTTCTGAATATGGACGAGGCGTGATAAAAATCCATAGACAGATGAGACCACGGTTGACAAAGTATGAAATACAGACAGAGATGACCAGCACTGAGTGGCTGACAGACTTAAGAGGATGGACTGGAGTCACTGGACACAATCCCTAACATTCGTTCTACCGATTGGGCAATGAAAACACCCCAAAATTACAAACAGAGTGAGATTTGTACTTGGATGACAGATTTAATTTGAGGAAAAACTGAATTTTGAACATGAGATGGTCTAGAGTAAAATAAGGATAATTCTTTTGAAGAACCAGCTTCAGCAGAAACTGTAGAAAAGTCTGTAAAAACATTCTTTCAAAGCCCAGAAATCTCACAGCAAGACATGTAGAAGATGGAAGGATACATTCCTATCTGTAATTTTCATCTAGATGTTTTCCTGAGATAAAACGCTGGCAGGGAAGACTGTAAAGGTGAATGTTTTTGGTCCCCAGTACCAAAGAATGGGGCCCATCTAGCCTGTTGGGTTCAATCTTTTCATCCCATTAAGAGACGGTATGACTGGTCAAGACCACAAACAATTCTTCCTGTTGACTCCAGTGATGCCACTCTTCTAGGGTTAGTTTGAGATTCAGTAATGGTGAGATAGATAAATAATCCAACTATCCAAATACGGGTCTGCAAGGGAGATCCAGGTTCCAGTTGATAGAAGGATACATCAGGATCAGGTAAGTAGAGGGTAAGTGATGTAATGAGAGTCCAGGAAAACACGCAGGACTTCCTAAAAAAATTATGCAACAAAATGCTGTGAGAGTACGAGGGAGGCAAGCCAGGTTTCTAAACAGAATAAAGACAATGCATAACCATCCAGAAGTCCCAAACAGCAGGTGCCAGATCCACAATACCAAGTAAGGTCAAACTCCTAAAGTTAAATAACCAGGAGAGAGGCACATTGATCAAAATCTGCAGAACCAACAAGGATCAGACGAAGGTAAAACTACAAAGGTCAGTCTGCTCAAAACCTCAGGATAGAGCACTTTGGGAGATTCAGGTGGGAATGCTGCAACAGAAATGGTTGATCTGGTGTCTTGGTGGGGGAAAGGTGGGCTTCCACTCAGATAGACACAAGAGCAGGGAATCACAGTAATCAATGAACAGGTATGGGTTAGAAAAACAAACAAACGAGAACAGGCTCAAACTATGGAAGTTGTTCTATTTAGATGTCTTCTCTTTATGGTAGATTAGTCATCTTGATCTGCAGGGATTCTTTACCATGGAATGGATGTTGATATATATATATACACACACATATATATATATATATATATATATATATATATATATATATATACTTTTTGCTCCCCATTTTTTTTACCACAACACTTTTCAAATCTGTTGATTTATTCAAATTCAGTTTTGATTATAGCTTTGATTTTGGTGTTTATTTTTTTTTATAATTCTTCAAACCTAAGAACCCAGAACCCCCCCCCCCCCCCCCCCCCCAAAAAAAAAAAAACAAGTAATGTCTGCTGATCAAGTTTGAAACCCTTTGAGTAAACAGTGGTGAACATTGCCCAACTGTGCAGTCTGACACAATCATTAGTTCAATGGAATTTCTTTGCCCTCAGTTGTGTGTAAACATGCATGGATGCATGTGTGTGTGTTCATGCCACGATGGACTGGCATCCAGTTCAGGGCAATTTAGAAACAACTTTTGAGAACTTTTTGTTCCTTTTGCGCAACAGCAAGTATTTAGGGTAACATTTGCCTCTATAAGTAGTAGGGTTAGGGTCAGGTCCCTTCAGCTGTGAAACATCTGTATTCATCTACAGACTAAATAGCACAATAGTACCATAACAGTAGAGAGCGCATCTGATTCATCTGTCTTCATAATTCCGATTTTCAGAATCTTTTATTTAAACTCTGTTTATATATTTAACCATTGTATTTTATAAAAATGTTGAATGACATATTTTTGAATATTTGAATTATATTATTAATAAAAATTTTCATCATTTTTTTAACATTACTAATGCATTTCTGATTTTTGTGAATGATTCAAACTACATGTTAATTTGTCACAAGCGTGCTCAGAGGCGTTGTTAGGATGTGTAAACACTGGGGGCTTGGCCCACAAATACTTTAATTTTCTTACAATAGTTGCATCGTTATGACGTAATTTAAGAGTACAATTAATATAAAACATGCTGTAACAGTTGTTTTCCTAGGATGGCTTTTTCCAATGTGAAATAAAAACAAGATATCAATCAGAGATCTCATTCACTTTTTTCTTTCCTAGATACTGGTGTAACAATAAAAACCAAAAGTTTCGCTTCTTTCAGCTTGTATGATTTTTTTGTTCCTCCTTAATAAAAATGTTGCTCTTGAAATGTGATAAACTGCATTCCCTGTCATATTAATGAAATTTAACTTCTATGACCATTTCAGGGTTCCCACTCTTTTCTTGAAATGATTTTCCAGGACCTTTTCATGGGGTAGGCGTTCCTTATCCAGCCAAGAAACATAATCCCTCCAGCGTGTCCTGGGTCTACTTTTAGGTGTCCTCCTGTTCGGATGTGCCCAGAAACCCTCACCAGGAAGGTGTCCAGGAGGCATCCTAACCAGATGCCCAAGCAACCTCCACTGGCACTTCTCGACGTGGAAGAGCAATGGATCTACTCAGAGCCCCTACCGGATGATAACGCTTCTCGCCCCATCTCTAAGAGCCCAGACAACCTGCAGAAATAACTAATTTTGGCCGCTTGTATCCATGATCTGATTTATTCGAATACCCAAAGCATATGACCATAGGTGAAGGTAAGAATGTAGAATGACTGGTATATTAAGAGCTTTGCCTTCAGACTCAGCTTTCTCTTCACCACAACTGCAGACGCAGCACCAATCCATCTATCGATCTCGCGCTCCATCTTTCCCTCACTCGTGAACAAGACTCCGAGATACTGAAACATCTCCACTTGAGGCAGGACCTCGTATTCTACCCTGTTTCAATCCAATTCAAGTCTTGGATTTAGAGGAGCCGATTCTTATCCCAGCTGCTTTACACTTGGCTGTGAAACCCGGAGATTATGTTTCTAATGAAGCCAACCAGACCACATAATGTACAAAAATCAGAGACCCAATCCTCAGACCACCAAAACGGATCCCCTTAACACCTTGGCTGTGTTACCATCAGATTCCTGCCGGCAGAGGTGACATGGGACCACTGAGGAAGATGGCCACACACTAGAGGAGCTCATGAAACCCGTTCATTAATGTTCTAAATTTGGGGACATACACACCAGTTGCGGTCAATATTAAACTCTCTTGGTCGACCTTGAGGCTAATCTTGGATCATAACCTTCGACAATGGCAAGTAATAATAAAGCGAACTTCTTCAAGGGAGCTAGCACAAGGAAGAAACAAGCTAGTATTAGCGTTGCACCAGCTCCGGTCGCCAGGTTTGGACGGTTTCCCAGCTGAGTATTATTAGACATTTATTGATATTCTGGCCCCGATTTTGCATAAAGTTTATCTTGAAGCACTGGGAATAGGATCCTTACCAGATACATTTAATGATGCATTAATCTCACTTATTCCTAAAAGGGACAGGGATGTATCAGATCCTGCAAATTATCGACCATTAAGTCTTTTAGGAGTCGATTGTAAGATATTGACAAAAGTTTTGGCCCCCCGTTTGGATAAAATATTACCAGATATTATTAATGGTGATCAGGTAGGTTTCATTAAGAATAGGTGTTCCAGTGATAACATCAGGAGACTTTTTCATCTAATGCACAAAAATCCAGCCAAGTTCCAGCCGGGGCCTTCTCGCTGGACGCAGAGAAGGCCTTTGACCGGATAGAATGGGGCTTCCTCGTGACTACTCTCTTAAGGTTCGGGTTTGGACCTGTATTTTGTAAATGGGTGAAAACCATATATTATAGTCTAAGAGCAGCTGTGTTGACAAACGGATTGGTGTCAGACTTCTTCCATCTGTCTCGCGGGACCCGTCAGGGATGCCCATTATCCCCGTTGCTATTTACAATATTTCTTGAACCATTGGCTTTAATTATTTGAGGTAACACAGACGTCAGAGGTGTCCATGCAGAGGGTTTGGAGCATAAGTTGCCTATGTATGCTGATGACATCTTAGCAGTGCTGATGGATCCAGTGCAATCCTTACCCACCTTGCTCACATGTGTTGAGTCGTTTTCAAGGCTGTCAGGTTACAAAATAAATTGGCACAAATCAGAAGGCATGCCCCTCAGCATTGTGTCATTCTACAGATATTACCACATTCAATTTCAGGAATGAAATATTTAGGAATATTATTGGATCCAAACCTGGATAATATAATGCTTTCAAATATGGAACCTCTCCTCCTAAAGATAAAAACAAATTTGGACAAATAGGATAAATTGAATCTTACACTGTGGGGTAAAATTAATGTAATCAAAATGGTAGTGGCTCCGCAGTTTAATTATGTCTCCATGATGTTATCTGTAAAAATACCTGTATATATATTTAATCAATGTGAGAGGATAATTAGGGACTTTTTGTGGGAAAAGAAGAGGCCAAGAGTGAATATAAAGAAAATGTGGGCCCCTGAGGACGCTGGGGGAATGGCTCTTCCAAATGTGAGACAGTATAATTTAGCATTTGAAATGTCAAGTTTTGCTGTGATGGACTTACATTTTATAAAGCTAAATGTGTTTAAATTCAAAATTCATTAAGCCTACTGATGGATCTAAAGTAAAATAATCTGACAAACTAGAGTAAAATACCAGTATATATCGTTTATCACAAGCTTATGTTATTTGTGTTATTTTCTTTTTTTATTATTATTTCCGTGTCCTGTCTGGCTGTGAAGCAAACAGAATTAATGTTTGAATGCTGGTGACAAGCCTACAGATTTACTCTCAGGTGGTGTCACGATCTGCCCCTGCCCGCCATGATTACTCTTATTGTTCTCACCTGTCCCTCGTTTACCTGCCCATGTTTCCCTAATTAGCCCTCTGTACTTATACCACCTGTTTTGCCCCTGTCCTTTGTCAGTTCATTGTTGTTGTTTGTTGGTGTTCCTGTTCATCCCATCCTGCCATTAAACCATTTTTACTTTTACTGAAGCCTGCATTTTTATCTCCTGCTCAGCTCATCCACACATGGTCTGCCGTCTCCACCTCCTACACCGTGACAGGTGGAGCATCAAAGCTCTCACTCAATGTTCTGCGAGCAACACTCAAACATCTGTAAATCTAGCAGCAAAGACTGATGGAATGTTAAACCCGTTTGTGTCCATCCATAAGAGGGGAAAATATTTTTCAAGTTCAACTCAAATGTTTCTAGGACATTAAACTTTTTTCCCCATTTTTCCCTGTTTTCTAGGACTGGAAAATTGGTCTATCATTTTCCAGGTTTCCCAGGACACATGAGAGCCCTGGGATCTCACCCCCAGGGTCCAGAATGGGTCAGATGTCAAAAATGTTTAGAGATCAAAAATTTGCTCCCTCAGATTAGGAAAGCTTGCACGAGGTACAGGGCAGCAGGTCTGAAGCTGGACTCATATTTATAAAATCTGACTATTTGATTGACACATTTTTGGTAGCGGTTTGACTGAAGTTTTACCTCAGTAATCATGAAATGCTTTGAAAAGTACTTGGTGTTTCTTCTGAGAACAGATTCGTTCAGAATTAGGCAGGGTAGGAGTACAGATGATGCTATTACTACCATCCCTCATCGATCCCTTAACCCTCCCACTGTCCTAATGGGTGTGACCCTGCGAGGAAAGTTGGCCATTGAGCAAGGTTGATGGTTTATCCCTTGGGTCCATGTGGCAGGGGTGAGGAGTAAGTTGGTCTTTTATTTATTGACTTTTAATTTTGCTTTAAACACACTTCAACCTCATTTATTGTTACAGAAATTATCCTAATTGACCGTCAAGCAATATAATGTTAAATAGTGTAACGTCCAGAAATGGTCAGTTTTCACCTACATATTGACCTACACAATGTCCGGTCACCTACAGACTTAACTCCACTATCTGAGTGGAGTTTCTATCCTGTCTTCTAAAGCCCAGAAGATTCTGCAGTCCTTGTTGATATTTCAGGAAGAATAAGATGTCAGCCTATGTTCCCTAACAAAGCCTTTGTCATGTTTATGTATTTAGCAGACACTTTTGTCCAAAGCGACTTACAAGTGATCTTTTGATAAGACCGCAGGATTGCACACTCTCATGAAATAGCTTTTACAACTCAAATAATCGTTAAATAATGATATGGTTGAATGAACAAATGTTATATGAATAACGTTGATGTTTGAATAATCTGTGACTAATTCAATGAAGTTGAAAAGAATTTTAATATTACAATGAAACGTTTTGATGTTATGATCAGTAATGTTTGGTTTAACAAGTGAGTCATTATCTACACTTGTATACAATGTTCATAAGATAAAGTTAAAGTAATTTCATGCACATAGATATGTTCTTACCCACAAATCAGAGAAGCTTCTGTCTGAAAGAAGGCGTGATGTTCTGAGGGCTGTTTGTTAACACCTCTTAACACGGCACGTCCCGATTGGCCAGGTAATCATAATATGGGAATATTAAAACAGAAACTTGCTGAGTGATTCAGTTAGTTTTTGAGCAGAACTCCGGACTGGCCACCGGGAGAAAACTCTCTAAAAAAATTGGGGCAGCAGTAGCTCAGGTGGTAGAGCGGGTTGCCTCATCATCGGAGGGTCATGGGTTTGATTCCAGCTCCCGCCAGGGGTATCCTGCTGTTGTGTCCTTGGGCAAGACACTTCACCCAACTTGCCTGTGTTAGTGGTGGTCAGAGGGGCCGACAGCGCCAGCCTCGCCTCTGTCAGACCTCCCCAGGGCGGCTGTGGCTACAAGTAGCTTACCGTCACTAGCAGTGTGTGAATGTGAGTGTGTGTGAAAGCGTCTTTGGGTGTCTAGAAAAGCGCTATATAAGTTCAATGCATTATTATTATTAACCTCCACATCTCTTGACAAGCTGTCAAAACCTGCTACACGCTGAAGCTGACACAGCAAACGGTTCCTGCAGAACAAAGCTGATACGGTTCCGACTCCTTAAGAGTCCTTCTAGACGCAAACTAGTTCCAACCTGTTGTGCCTGGCGACATCTCTGGACTGGAGAAAGTCAGTGCTGCGGTTAATCCACTGAACCTCGGTGCCCAGAGGTCATCCGACCTTCCCGACCTTCGGATCCGCGAAGAGGACCTCCATAAGGGTGAGGTAGTCACAGCATGATTGCGTCTGATGTGGTTTTGATAAGAACCAACTTTGTTAGTTTAATGCAGACCAAATTCTTTTCACACCCAGAACTGTTTCTAGATACAAGGTTCTGATAAACACCCACCATTCAACCACCATACATCACATCACATCCACTTATGTTCATCCATCACATTCGTCTTATTTAACTTATCTTGTTTTTAATTTGTTTAGAAAATACATTTCTTACCTTTTATAAGCCTGACTCTGCCTGAATTGATGCGAAGTGTGTTTGATCCCTGAAAAAGCAAAGAATCCTAGAATCCCCTGATTAAACATTCAAAGACTAATAAGGTTGATATCCTATATTTATATAGACTATCACAGCTTTTTGGTCATAAGTAAAGGTAATATATTAAGCTTAAAAGCAACAATATTTACCCCCACAACAATAGGTTTACTCTTATCATCAAGAACTCAGAGCATGGAATTCAATAATAGTTTCCAGTTGGAGATTGGTCAGCACCAGGTGTATCACAGGGCGGGCCAGCAGAGCTCACCTGTTCTTTTTATACAAATGATAGCACCAACACAAACTCAGATAATCTGAATTTTTTATTTCCTGATGAAAGGACACAGATCCAACTGTTACATTTTTGAAGGGCGTCAAGAATTTTGTGGAAAACACTCCCTCTGATGTTAGTAAAACAAAAGAGACGGTGTTAGACACACAGGTCATCATTCCTCACTGTCCGTCCACAATGAGGAAATCAATCAGGTCAAATCGGGCAAGTACCTTGGGGTGGTGAATAGACCATCTCTTCAGCTGAAACATGTTACTCGCTTTCAACAAAGGTTTTACTTTTTGTGTAGAATTAGGAAGTTTGGCGTGAATCAGGAAATTATGCCGTTGTTCCATCAGGCTGTTCTTGAGAGCACGATTATGGCATAACATCGTGATATGGCAATCTCTCTGAACAGGCAAAAAATCATCTCGTTCATGTATGAGCACTCTGTACTCAAACAGGCACAGACGTTTTTATTAGATCCATCACACCCACTATTCCCTTAGTACGAGCTACTACCATCTGGTAGGAAATGTAGAGTTCCAGGTTGAGTAGATTTGTTCCGATTTTCATTTGACTGCTAAACATCAAATCATTTTTTTGTAGTTACTCTTACATACATTCACTGGTTTGCATTGTATTGAGTGTAGTAGCAGTCACTGTAACACTCCTGAGTCCAAGATGAATTTCCCCAAGGGGTCAGTAAAGTGTGACTTGATTGATGCAACAAAGCATCCTCTGTGTATCAGTAAACATGGCGTAGGACCACACACTGGAGTTTGATGGAGGGGTCAAATACAATCTCAGCAGAAGAATCTGACCGACTCTTAGAGGACTCTAATCAGACTCCTCTAATCCTGGTTTAATCCCACTAATGCTGATGATGGAGGAGCCAGAGAGATAATACCAATCTTCATGTATTTATTAGAACAGACAATATTATAAACTAATTTAAGTACATGAACAATCACATGATCACACGAGTGTGTTTGACACATTCAGATTCATTCGAATTTTTGACGTATATAACTGAAGTCAGCATTAACATCCTGTTAGGTCTGCTGTGGACTGGATAGACTTTAAGCTCATGGATCTGCTCTGACTGTGAACAGGACATATTTCTGACATTAGATCCATGACAAAATACCAAAAACCTGGAATATTCTGATTTTAGAACACACACACACACACACACACACACACAAAGAATTAGGCACAAAAAGTCCTTTAATCCTGATAATCCATCCTAACTGTTAATCAATAACACCTGTTTACTTCCTCAGAAAACAAGAGGCTTCATCAAAGGTCTGCTGATCAGGAACCTCTAAAGTCTGGATCGGAGGGATCCGACCACCGGTTTGTCTGAGCAGAACTCTTTCCACCAAGAAGGGCGCTCCAGCACCTGAGTCCCCTGCATCACAGCGGACCACATGTTCTTGTAGAGCTGTGGAGGAGGATCAGTGAGGAATCAAAACATGTCCTGATGCAGACAGCATTCCTGACAGTGTGTGTGTGTGTGTGTGTGTGTGTGTGTGTGTGTGTCAGCTATGATGTGCTTGGTCTTAGATGAAGATAATAACAAGACAGAGAACAGAGAAGGCTTTAGCATCCATTCTGAGACCTGAATGTCATCTGCCCCACACAAAATTCAAAATGGTGCAAAATTATTAGAAGGTAAAATCATCTTCATAGTTCTGATTAGGAGTGAAGCTGATGAAGATGAAGGTGTCATTTAATTGCATGGTTTCTGCAGGGACCCAAGTGTCCTACGGGTGTTTTTTTTTTTTTTTTGAGGGAAGCCTAGAGGCTTGAGTGGAATGGGATGGTCTTTACCTGTCCATCAGCATTCCCAGCGGGTGAGTTGAGGATGAAATCGGTAGGAGCAAAAACATCCACCAGAGCTACAGCATCGTCCTTCAGCTGATGACACAGAGGAATGAGGTGCTGGATGAATCAACAGCATTAACCCTGCAGAAATGACATCACTAACTCTGTCCTGGCCTGTTTAACAGCCAAGGGCACTGCAGGTCAACAAAAAAAAAAAAAAACTCCCACTGGATTCCAGAACTTATTCCAGAACTTATTCCAGAACTTTAAGTGCAGACGGTTCGGAGGTCCAGTTCCTCGGGTTCTCAAGAGACTTCTAGAGAAGATGAGTGCTCTGCTAAAGATAAAAACTTATCTCCATGTTTGATCCTGTCAGCGGCTTCACAAGTCCAAACCGGTAAGATCTACCATCTAACTCGGCCCACAGGGGGGTTCCAGTACCTCCGTCACACAGAGGACACTCATATTAGTGGGGTGGTGTGATCCCTGACCCAATGACGGTTCTGTACCTCAGAGCAAAGAGCGAGGATGGCCATCTGAACCAGCTCAGCAGGTCTTCTTCCACTCACGTAATTACCTGGACACAATATTACAAATGAGTAAGGATTAAATGATGCTGGGCACCTCCACGTCAGTACGCTAGGAAACCCGTACCCTGGTAAAGTGTGGCCATGTGGTTATTGAGGCTCCACAGTCCATACAGGGCACACAGTCTTCTCAGCACTGATCTGAGACCTGCAGGCGTTTTCGGATCGGTGGTCAGCTCGAAAAATCTCTGGAGGCAGGTGTGCTCGATGTAGATGAGAGCCAGCGACCTGCAGTAGTAGACCTGAACACACACAGATGTTACAAGCTCCACCCTCATTTCTGTCAGCGCTGTTCGCCTGAGACGGAGCATCAGGATAACCTGGAGCCTGCACAATTTATAGTTTAAACCCCATTCAGGATGAATCATTGACCACCTCTGGGTGTTCCTCTTCTCATCTGAGGAGCCATAAAATAAATTTCTATGTTTTTAATATATGATCAGATCTCTATTAATGCAAGTTAACTCATTTCCCTTCTGGGAGCTAATATCTGTTTAGTCATGCTTAGAAGTTTGAATCTCCTCACTTCAGGGATGAGGAAAGAAATATCTTCAGATGATGAGGAGGTCCAGTTTCTCCTAAGTGAATGTGGATGATGGAGAATTGGAGTGTGGATTACATGTTTACGTGTCTCCTCTCTAGCTCTAGAACTGCAGGGTACTTTTTCTTCACGTGATTGTTTAATTGTAATGAATCAGTTGGTCCTTCCGGCCGAGCACTCAGAAGAAAACAACTCACTAGATGTTTGAAGAGATCAGATCTGGCCTAATGTGTGGAGGAAGTTTCAGAGCCAGAATCCTGCCCCCCTTGCCTGGAAGGCCTCACGTTGGCTCTAGACCACAAGTATTTCCATCATGTCTATACAGTCTATTTTGGCACCAAACACCAGGTCTATTGATATGGAAATCTGACAAACAAGGGACAGTCTTCAAAGTTGTATTATCCTGCATAAAGAGGAATAAAGCAGAGTGTTGGCAGCCGGTCAGTGAGGTTCTGCTCCCAAAGCCCAAACAGAGTGAGGAGGGGGGCATGGGGGTTGGTAGGGTCAGAGGTGTAGGGTGACCAGAGTCTGGGAGCTTGGAACATCAGATTCTGCTCCGTCTTCACCAACTAGACCCAGGCTGCTAAATGCTGCATTTACTACAAACCAGGCCACAGGTCAGCTGTCTCTGAGACTAAAGGTTAAGCTGCTTCTGCTAGAATTCATGATCCAACCATCAAGTTGCTTTTATCACTAGACATTCAGCTTTTCAGATAAGTAAGAGAATCAAGACTTGCAGCTGGAGGCTGACATCAGCACGATGAGTCTTGCTTACCTGGCTGTCGTTACGGGCCTCAAAGTCATCCTTGCCTAAAGCTTTCTGCTGTTCCAGCCTCTTCTGACTCTCCTCCAGCAGAAAACACACCAGCCACTGATATGCTGTCACAGAGACTAAGGTAACACAAATCAATCATGAAGGTAAATAAACACTCCTCTGACAACAAGAACGCAAAATAAAGCAGCTGTTTTCAGAAAAAACTAGAGTCAGATCAATCTAAACATCTCCTTCTCTGGTGCTGAAAGACATTTACTGACAGTAAAACCAGGAAACCACATTCTGATCATTTTAAGTGTTAAAGAATCTTGAAGATTAGATTCTTATTTTTTTTATTGTTTTGTTGAATCTATAATATTTTCTGGACAGAAAGCAGCATTAAGCGACCACAGTCAGTATGAATGAAATGTATTTTTTATGAAGCTGATGTTTCGTGATACCTTCAGGGTTCATACACTCTTCCACTGTTTGTGCTGTAAACCTGCTTTCCAGGATCCTCTGAAAATCATCCAGGAAGTCGACAGTGTGGAAGGGCGATTGGATCCGAACACCATCTGAAATCAGACAGGAAACACTCACACTGATTCTTGTTTGTATCTTTTTATGTTTATTCACACAAGTTGTCTTTATCAGGAACCAAAACCATGTTTTCAAAAGGGAACCGTTCTTAAAACAAAGATAATTACAGTGCCAAGAAGCGGGGGCATGAAAGTTGCGTGTGAAAGTTCTCCACATTTGACTCATCCCCTGGAGGAGCGGTGAGCTGCAGGCACGGTAACTGTTTGATGGTTTAACCCCCAACTGAACCCTTTAATGCTGAGTACCAAGCGGGGAAGGGGCATTGGGTCCCTTTTTTTTAAGTCCTTGGTGTGACCCAACCGTGGATTAGAACCCACGATCTCCTAATCTGTAGTTGAAACTTGGAAATTCCAAATTTCTAATAGGAAAAATGAACTGGAACACCCCAAAATGTCTGAACTCCCACTTAAAAATTTGAAGACTTTTTCTAACTCTGACTTCAACAGCAAATATGGAAGTATACCTCCTCACAAAAATATGAGGGCCTGTAGTGGAATAGTGCTTTCTTTAAAGACACTTTTTTAAGGATTCAACTTAAATCAGTGTTAAATGTTGTGGTCTCTGGGTTGTGTCCCAGTCTACAATACATTACTACTGACAGCAATGAACAAAATGTCCTCACCAATAAAATCTACCAAACCACTGATTTAAAAATGAAACCATATCAATATGAACTACGTACAAAAACTATATGAAAAAGTACAAAGGGATGCAACTCAACAAGAAAAAGTTCAATGTCTGTGCAACAAATGTTCCTTCAAATGAGTATTTATGGGATTACACCACCTCTCCCACACAGCATAATCCCAGCCCCCTCCTCTTATCGCTGCTCAGCATTTCTGCCAGCCTGAACAACACTAAAGCTGGGCATCATCACACTATTGTCCAGGATGCGTTATTAAAACCACGACTGAAAAACCAATGACAGTACACTCTCAGTATTCCCTCTGCTTTTTTTAATTTTTTTATTAGTGCAGCAAGTTTATCTGTTGTCTTTCCCAGTGACCTCACATTCCCTGGAATAATCACTCCCAGCTTAACTCCAGCTCTGTCCTCCTGTTGTCTCTTCCACAGCTTAGCCAGAATTCCAGGCCTCACTCCAGGCAGAAACACAGGATCCATTGGTTGTGTGTGTAAACAAATCCCCCCTCTGACTCCAGGAGTTGCACAGAAAAATGAATATATTTTGAAACCAATACTAAGAAAAAAATAAAAACAAACAGGAATTGCTGCAGCAGGCTCTCACTAGCCAGATTTTCCATGAAGAATTCACAGAAGGTGGCTGATAGCAAGTTCCCCATTGCAAATCCTTCCGTTTGTAAATAAGTCCGTTGTATGTGAAGTATGTGGAGTCTGCTACAAGTTCTATGAATTGTTTCATGTCGTCTGCCTTCAGTTTTGTCCTTTTGTTTAATGCTCTGTCTTGTTTGATTCTGTTTATTGATGGCTTTTTGGGTGGGAGTTTTTGTGAACAGAGAAGTGACTTTGTGTGAAATAAGTATGTAGCTGTCCTCGATTGTAGTCTTATTGAGTTTGTTGGTTAGTTTGGTGTAATTTTAGCAGTGTTGATCAATATTGCCAAAGAGTGGACTGATGATTCAGCTTATTTCTTTTGCCATTTTGTATGTGGGTGTAGCTACGCTGTCAGCTATTGGTCTCAGTGGAGTGTCCTGTTCATGGATCTTGGGTGTTCCATTTATTCTTGGTATAATGTTTGCCGTTGGGATCCATTGTTTGAACATGTTTTCTGTAATTTTCCCTTTTTCCATTAATGGTTTTAATATTTTTTCATGTTCTTTTTTATTTCTTCTGTAGGAAGTTTTTTAATGGTTTGTATGTGTTTTTGTCTTTTAACATTTGTTCCATTTGTTGTTTGTTTTTGAATTTGTCCATTATTACTGTAGTTCTACCCTTGTCAGCTGGCAAGGATGACGATGTCTTCGTTTTTGGCCGGTGTAGTCATTGCTGCTCTTTCTTGTTTAGTGACGTTGCTATGTTGTTTAGCTATTTTTTAATATGCCAACTATGCTGTTCATTATTTCAGCTTTATTGCTTTCTTCTGTGATTTGTTGACAAGCGAACTCCATTGCTGCAATGAAATTTTCATACGGTATGATTTTTTTTGTGTAATTGTGTAGTTTAGTCCTTTTTTCAATAAACTTTCTTCTGCTTCTGTTACATATGTTGTGAAAGATTGCATATCCTGGTGTTCTGAGTGGTGTTGTTCTGTTTTTCTTTTCTTTTTCTTGTCTATCGGTTTGTTTAATTTCATTGTGTCTTTGTTTTATCTTGGTGAATTCTTCTTATTTTTGCATCATGTGTCTTTTTACTTGTGCCACTGTAGCTTTATCCAGTTTGTAAATCCTTTGTAAGTTCAGGTGTCCATTTTTGTTATCTATGTGTATTTGTTTGGTTGTGATGTTTCTAATCATTTCTTTGAGACGTGCTTTCCTTGTCCGGTGCATTATGTGTTGTGCCGTCTTCGTTTTGACCTGGGTTTAGACTTGTGGGTGTTATGTCCTCATCTCGGCAAAGCGGAGGTGGTTCCTTAGACGCGCCAGCTTTAGGTGTAACTTTTCCAACCGTCGGATGTTGTCTTTCGCTTGTTTTCCGTATTTATCTTTAAAACTTCTGAATGTTTGTTCTGTGTATTGATTCATAATCATCTTTTTTCTTATTTAACACAGAGCACTAATTTGATGTCTTTTTACCTTTGGAATGGATTGGGACAGTACACGGATTACAAACACGGAACAAAAGTGTGGACAGGTTTTATTTAAAGGGAGGAACAGAAGCAAGATGGCGCCAGCACTGTGTACGGCTTGCCATCTGCTCAGGCCCCTTCAAACTACTACTACTATTTTCTGTTTTTCTACTGGCATAACGCTCTCGCTCAGCTTACGATAGTCAATCTCTCCTGAACATCAAATAGATATATGAGCGCTTTGAGCAGAATCAGACAGTTAAATGCTCATTCATTCCAGCCTCCACCTCTCCCCTTACCTGTCTCTGATAATCTGGCTGTTACAGCTGCTCTTTCGAAGCAACTTTTGAGGAAAAGGGGGAAGCGGGGTTGCCTGCTGATTAGACTCAGGGTTTACATGCGCTCCACTCGTGGTGCTGCTTGGACTGGCCCAGGCTTCCTGTACCGCTCGTCGTTTGGAGCATCTTTGCCCTCGCTGGATACTCCCTGTGCTTCCTGGATCCGTGCTTGATGGTCGGTGCCTCTCCTCTCCAGTCCTGGCCCCCGGTCCGCACTACACACGAATTGGAAAACGTGGAGTTGATTTTTCCAACCTCCGGACCTTGGAGGGTGTGAGACTCCCAGATGGAAATGGGCCTGCTCTTCGGATGGCACTCCTTAATACCAGGTCTCTTACAAATAAGACCTTTGTACTGAGGGATTTCTTTGAAGCACAAGCGTTGGATTTTTTATTTCTTACGGAAACTTGGATTCAGGATGGTGTGTCAGTGGTCTTCTCTGAACTTCTCCCAGCTGACTGTGCATTTCATAGCTCCCCTCGTCTGTCGGGCAAAGGGGGAGGCTTGGCATCTGTTTGGAAATCTAAATTTCGAGGCCGAAACATCCCTTCAAATGCTTATCCGAGCTTTGAGTCTCAACTATTTGAAATCCAGTCTGATGTTGTTATACTTTGTGCAGTGATCTATCGGCCACCTAAGATGGATAAGAACTTTATTGCAGATTTTTCTGATTTTATGGCAGGTCTCGTTCTTAATGCCGAAAAGCTTTTAATTGTTGGTGATTTTAACATTCACGTCTGCTGTGCAACTAAACCTCTGGTTAAGGAGTTTTTGCAGTTACTTACCTCTTTTAACCTTATTCAATCTGTATCAGGCCCTACACACGAAAAGGACCACACACTGGATTTAGTATTATCTCTTGGCCTTGATGTTAAAGTGACAGAAATTAGTGACTCCTGGTTTTCAGACCACTTTCCTGTATTATTCAATGTATGTGTGGATATCTCTGAACCGATCCGGGCTCCGTCACAGCGTTGCAGACGCCTTTTGAGCTCACAAACTGCCTCTCATTTTATTGCTGCTTTTAACGAAGCAGATTTTTTTAGCGCAGATGGACTGTAGCAACATATCAACTGATGAGTTCTTGGATCGTTTTAATTCTACATGCACTGACATTTTAGACTGTATTGCAATGTGGAGGAGCAGCGGGTCTACTCCGAGCCCCTTCGAGCATTTCGGTTGCGTCACACTTGGCTGTGAACAGCTCCAATGAGAGCTGGAGGTCACGTTCTGATGAAGCCAACAGGACCACATCATCTACAAAAAGCAGAGACTAAATCATCAGGCCACCAAAACGGATCCCCTCAACACCTTGGCTGTGCCTAGAAATCCATAAAATGTCCATAAAAGTTATGAACAGAATGGGTGACAAAGGGCACCCTTGGCGGAGTCCAACTCTCACCGGAAACGAAGTCGACTAATTGCCGGCAATGCGGACCAAGCTCTGACACCGATCATACAGGGACCTAACAGCCTGTTTCAGAGGGCCTGGTACCCCACACTCCCGAAGTACCCCCCCAAAGGGCCCCCATGAGGGACCCAGTCAAACGCCTTCTCCAAATCCAAAAAACACATGTAGATTGGTTTGGCAAACTCCCACGCACCCTCCAGGACCCCTCTAAAGGTATAGAGCTGGTCCAGTGTTCCACGGCCAGGACAAAAGCCACATTATTCCTCCAGAATCTGAGGTTCAACATCCAACAGACCCTCATCTCCAGACCCCCTGAATAGATCTTACCAGGGAAGCTCAGGTGTGTGATCCCCCTGTAGTTGGAACACATCTCATGGTCCTCCCTTTTAAATCTGTGGACCACCACCCCGGTCTGCCAATCCAGTGGAACTGCCCCCAATGTCCACCCGATATTGCAGAACCGCCTCAGCCAACACAACCCAACAATATCAAGAGGCTTAAGGAACTCTGGGCAGATCTCACCCACCCCCTGGGCCTTGTCATCAAGGAGCTTTTTGACCACCTCAGCCCAACCCAAAGTCCTCGGACGCTACTTCCTCACTGAAAGATGTGCCGGTGGGATTGAGGAGGTCTTCGAAGTATTCCGCCGGCCGATCCACAACGGCCCGAGTAGAGCTCAGCAGCACAGCATCCCCATTATAAACAATGTTGGTAGCACACTGCTTTCCCCACCTGAGTCACCGGATGGTTGACCAGAATCTCCCCAAAGCCATACAGAAGTCTTGCTCCATGGTGTCACTGAACTCCTCCCACGCCTGCGTTTTTGCCTCTGAGACCATCCGTTCTGACAACATACTAAAGTGACTGTAGAATTGATGTGCACAGCATGATCTAACGGGCGAGCTCAGGATGCTCTGAGGGGGAACCTGGTATAAAGAGTTTAGAAACCACTACCTTAGACTCACCGTGGAGTTTGGCGTAAAACAGGCTGAGCAGGTAGTTGCTGGTCTGTTGCAACAACACATTGTTGTCTCCTTCATATGTGCAGTTTGGGTCATTATCATCACGTAGATCTCCCAGTCGGTTCACTGCAACACAGACAAGTTTGTGAAGGTCTGGACTCAAAGGGACTGAGATATGTGTGAGACTGTAGACTCACTGGCCAGGTACCCATGTCCACCACAGGCCTCCCTGCATTCCTGAATGCCCCTCTGAGCGGTCCACGAGCCCAGTGGTTTACTAGAGCAACCAATAGCATGGATCTCCTTGCCCATCTCTGCCTGACACACACAACACAAACACCACCATCTGTTATCCAACATGTATCCAACTCCAGTCCTCCAGGACCCCTATCCTGCAGGCTTTAGTTCTTTCTCCGAGCCAACACATCAAATCAAAGATACTTTATTAATCCCAGAGGGAAATTAGAGTTTCAGTACACACAATTCAGAGTTCAGACATACATGGGCAAGACACATGACAAGAACTGGTGACTGTGGTCATTCGCAACCCTGAGTCGCTACCTTAATAGAGATAAGAGGGGTTACATGAGGATTGGTTCAGGTGGAGGGAAAAAAAGGCACTTCAGAGTTACCCTCCACCAGGAGGGCAGCTTTGCTCTGCAAAAAATACCCCACCTCAGACAGATATGCAACAGACTTCAGACAACACAACATAAGTGTCCACTAGGTGGGGTGGTGGGTTGGGACTATCCCCACTTCAGTTCCTGCAGCCACAATAAGCAGCGCATGTCACCTCAGTGTGGACAGGGGGAGGAGCATTGAGGGTTGGAGGGTTGCAGTGACCCTGGAACGTTTCAGTCCTGGCCAGGCATGGAAAGGAGACAAAGTTGTTGCCAAAGCGACGGCACATTCCACATATCTTCTGAGGGGGGAGTTTTCGTTGGAGCCTTGCAGGTTCAAGGGTACCAGATCCCGATTAGAAATTGTTTTGGGGCCAGACAGAGATAATTTCCTCTCTGTCTTACAGTTAGCATCTTATTTGAATTAATCAGTGATCAACAGGCTTCTCTAGAAATCAAGGACCTTTGGATCATTGGATGAGGAGAGTTGCAGCAGAGACACACTTGGACAGTAGCTCTGGAGGAGTGGACTTGGGTCTCTCTGCTGTGCAGTATGAGAACTGTAAACAGGGATCAGGCTGACTCACCTGTCTGTCACTGTTGTCCCTCATCATCTGTCCAACTTGGAACTCGATCAGGTTCATAAAGGTGGTTTTGGTGAAGTGATCGAGAGCATACACTGCTGCCAGGTAGGGAATCAGACGCCACTGCTGCAGGAACACAGTCCAAACATCACATTAGCATCTGGTTTACTGTTAGCAGCCTAACCCCATCCTGTTACTCTGATGTGAGGTCTTGTGTTCAACACCAGCTCAGCACTGAAACATATCAACACCTCTGCAGAAAATAAAACCTGACTAAAGACTCTTCCAGGACACAGTTGTTTACTGTTTCAACTCTGGTATTAATCTCAGTCAAGGTTAATTATAACGGGGTCAGGATAAGCCTCTGCGATGTTCTCTGTGCGTGACGTTTAAAACGTCTGCACAACGGCATGTAATTCCAGTCTGTCAAAATGACCAGCAGCCTTGAGATTTCTCTGTCAAAATAAACAGTCAAAACTAGAGAATGCCAGGTTATCAGATCCCTGCCAAGTTCGGAATTCTGTGTTCATCAACGAACCGCATCTCATCTCATCTGCGTTAACATGTTTTTTTACACAGATAGTCGCCCAGAGTATTTAACTGAAGATGCTTTTCTACCCAACATCTGTCTCGTTAAACTCAAACCAGGTCTGTTTAACCAATGTTACCCTGCCTTCATCCACCTGCTGCAGAAACAGCTGCTGCATTCACAGAAACAGGGATCAGTTCTGCAAAATGCAAATTCTGGATTAGATATTACAGAAATGAGGATGGCTTGCCATCATATTTAAAAGCCAGCGCTCATTAATTAGGACGTCATTTCTTACGTCAGGCAGTCTAAATGATGACGGGGAGGCTCGCTGGCTGTTGCACACATGCGCAGCGGGCATTATTTTACTCCAACAATACGAATGGCAGAACTTTTGATCCGATTGGGCGTTTAATCCGATTAATTGTGCGCATGTAAACGTGGCTACTGAGACATCGGTCCAAGGACACAGATCTGAGCAGCAGGAAGCTGTTTAGGGATTCTTACAGAAGAAAAATATTAAAAATAAATTTAAGTCACCTGTAACTGGTACTCCAGAACAGGGATCTCCTCTGTGTCTTTGGGTCCAAACTGTCTCCTGGAGGCTGAAAATCGGACAGCTACAGTTAGAGCCAGCTTCAAGTTGACCAGAGCCATCCTGCAGATATAAACCCTGCCTCCTGACAGGGCTCCCAAAGATGCACCAAAACGCTTGTTGGGGTCCTGTAGGAGAAAAACACAGAACAGAAAGAGGGACAAGGTTGAGAATAAACCCAGAAAACAACAGAAAGGCAGAAATCTTTCACCCAAAGGGTTTTCCCTGCATGGCACGTGTTTCCTGGATGTGCTGAAGTTGGTCCATCAAAGTATAGTTTGGCTCAGAATCAGTCAGCTACACTTACTATGCTGATGACACACTGCTGCATTTGTACTCACTTTATACAACCCCTAAACCCTCACAGGACACCATTTAGGTACATATTAATGAGACTGAGTTGGACCCCTGCTTGTTGAATTAAACTAGCTTTTCCCAGTGGTGATGTAAGCTGAGCCAGGTCATGCGAAGGCATTTCTGAGGGCTTTTCCAACAGTCTTTATAAACATTTGTACATGAATATGTAGGCGTGGGAGCATTTATAACTGACATCCAGCTTCAAAATAGGAACTCCTAAAACAAAAACCTTCTGGTAGCACAAAAAAAAAAAACACAATAGGTAGGAACTCCAGTTATTATTCCACTGGTATTCAGCAGGAGTCTGATGTTATGGTTTGTCCACCAGCAGAAATCTGTGTACCTTATAAGGTGTTAGGTAGCGGCCGTCAGGAGTAACATCTCCTGTCTTATTCAGAAGGTTTTCCCGAGAGATCCTCACACCATGAAACATTACAAACCTGATGAGAAAAAGAGAAAATAACTCAACTTTATGCAAAGAAAGTAAAAGTAGGCCATTTTACTGGGCAGCATGAATCAAAGTATTAGGCAGGGTTTACTTCCAGCGGGATTCCTACAGTTACACAGATGAGTGTAGCATTCTGTCTACAGTTAGGTCTCATATGCCAATGAGGACGCTAAACCTTCACCCGTCGACCGGAACAGCCTAAATGACGTCTGCAGCTGCTGCCACCTACCCGTTATCCAGTCCGTTCTGGCCTAACTTCTTGCCCATGTCTCCAACCAGCACACCAGGCAGAGCTAGAAGGGTTTTAGGATCTCTCACCTGCAGAACACAGGAGGCAGCTTGAGTGGACGTCTCATCACTCAGATTAAATGATTGCATATAAACCAAAGGACCATGATTTGAAATATTTCCTTATGAAACTATCTGATCATTCATATGAAAACTAGTAGGGTCAACCTTGTGATGCACCATGCTGCGTGCTTTTCACAGACATTGCTCCCTCCAGATGCTCTCACTGGCAGGAGCTAGGTGATGTCATCACCTTCTACAGCTTTTCCATACCAAACACATCAAGACAAGTTCCTGGTCGGCAGTGGAGTGCAGGTGTGCTGGGAGTCACACATAATAAAAATGACCTAAAACGCCTATGTTGGTCATGCATTCCAAAGATAACATAAAATGTGTAGCCAGATGTTTACGTGCATGTCACACATGTCTCAAAGTGATGACGGAGGCCTGGAGTGTTTGATCTGACACGTAAGAGACGTTTTAGGTTGTTTTGGAAATCAAGTGATCTCACGCCTGGTACAGGAAAGAGTTGGTTACTTCATCAGTCTTACCGGAACAACAAAGGAGTGGAGGCCATGGCACACCTGGTCAGGCGTGTAGAGCTGAGCGAACACCACAGCATGGGTGGCGGTCTTACCCAGGTTCCCCACCCAGAACTTAGCTGCCTCAAAGTCTGGAGAGTTGATGACAAACTCCTAGAGAAGAGAGGCTGACGCTGACATAAAAAGGAACAGAACTGCACTACGTTAGATTACAGGTGCTGGCCAGTAAATTAGAATATCATCAAAAGGTTGAAAATATTTCAGTAATTCCATTCAAAACGTGAAACTTGTACATTATATTCATGCAATGCACACAGACCAATGTATTTCCAATGTTCATTACATTTAAATTTGATATTTATAGGTGACAACCAATGAAAACATCAAATCTGGTATCTCAGAAAATTAGAATATTCTAAAGGCCAATGAAAAAATGTTTGTTTCTCTAATGTTGGCCAACTGAAAAGAATGAACATGAAAAGAATGTGCATGTATAGCACTCAATACTTAGTCGGGGCTCCTTTTGCCTCAATAACTGCAGTAATGCGGCGTGGCATGGACTCGATCAGTCTGTGGCACTGCTCAGGTGTTATGAGAGCCCAGGTTGCTCTGATAGTCGTCTTCAGCTCCTCTGCATTGTTGGGTCTAGCGTATTGCATCCTCCGCTTCACAATACCCCATAGATTTTCTATGGGGTTAAGGTCAGGCGAGTTTGCTGGCCAATCAAGGACAGGGATACCATGGTCCTTGAACCAGGTGCTGGTGGTTTTGGCACTGTGTGCAGGTGCCAAGTCCTGTTGAAAGGTGAAGTCTGCATCCCCATAAAGTTGGTCAGCAGCAGGAAGCATGAAGTGCTCTAAAACTTCCTGGTAGACGGCTGCATTGACCCTGGACCTCAGGAAACAGAGTGGGCCAACACCGGCAGATGACATGGCACCCCACACCATCACTGACGGTGGAAACTTTACACTGGACCTCATGCAACGTGGATTCTGTGCTTCTCCGCTCTTCCTCCAGACTCTGGGTCCTTGATTTCCAAAGGAAATGCAGAACTTGCTTTCATCAGAAAAAATAACTTTGGACCACTCAGCATCAGTCCAGTCCTTTTTGTCCTTGGCCCAGGCGAGACGCTTCTTGCGCTGTTTCTTGTTCAAGAGTGGCTTGACACACGGAATGCGACACCTGAATCCCATGTCTTTCATGAGTCTCCTCGTGGTGGTTCTTGAAGCGCTGACTCCAGCTGCAGTCCACTCTTTGTGGATCTCCCCCACATTTTTGAATGGGTTTGTCGTCACAATTCTCTGCAGGGTGCGGTTATCCCTAGAGCTTGTACACTTTTTTCTACCACATTTTTTCCGTCCCTTCGCCTGTCTGTTAATGTGCTTGGACACAGAGCTCTGCGAACAGCCAGCTTCTTTAGCAATCACCTTTTGTGTCTTGCCCTCCTTGTGCAAGGTGTCAATGATTGTCTTTTGGACAGCTGTTAAGTCAGAAGTCTTCCCCATGATTGTGGTGCCTTCAAAACAAGACTGAGGGACCTTTTAAAGGCCTTTGCAGGTGTTTTGAGTAAATCAGCTGATTAGAGTGGCAGCAGGTGTCTTCTATATTCAGCCTTTTCAGAATATTCTAATTTTTTGAGATACCAAATTTGGAGTTTTCATTAGTTGTCACTTATGAATATCAAATTTAAATGTAATGAACATTGGAAATACATTGGTCTGTGTGCATTGCATGAATATAATGTACAAGTTTCACGTTTTGAATGGAATTACTGAAATATTTTCAACCTTTTGATGATATTCTAATTTACTGGCCAGCACCTGTATGGTGTCAAGCGCTGCTTCATGCTACAGGGTTTCATTTTGAGGTATCGCGAAAAGTCTAAAAATAATAATAAAATATGCTAAATTTTACACCCAATATAATACAATAACAGACAACTTTATATTTATGTAGTTAAATATATTATTTGTATTTTTTTATACGAAACACTAACGCATCCTCGATACAATGGGCGGAACAAGAACATATTTGGAAACTGAATGCTTGCCATGACGCTTACTTAGGATTGGAACAGTACTTGGGTCAACCTAGATGATGTGTCACAAGTACGTAAGTACACAAGTTCAGACGACTACACATATTGAGAAACGGCCTTTCTTTGGCAAATATTGGATTTTGAAACCGGACTAAATCTGAACAGTTCTATTCCAGCTCAGCACTCTCTGATTAGCTGGGATGCCCGTCATGGTTATCCGGGATGACTCGGCCCTGGCTGTGATGGGTTAGGTCAGGGGTCGGCAACCTTTTCCCATCAAAGAGCCATTATTACCCATTTCCCACAGTAAAGAAAACACTGGGAGCCGCAGCAGCCGCGGCGTTGTGGGCGGGGCCTACCCTCAGACAGCAGAGAGCTGCTTTAACCAATCACAACAGGTGACAGCAACCAGTCGCTCATGTACCTCAAAGTTATCTTTCAACAGAAGATAATAAAAGTTTGTATAAAATCGATCCAAAAGTTGTAGCCAGTCTGTGCTACAATATTTCAATATTTTTCACCATTAGTGGTTTTACTGTTGAGCAGGTGACGCTTTTTGAGGCGTCACACATAACTGTTCAGAATACAAATCCAGGCTCTGTCTCGTTGGACTGTTCTAATTAAACTTTGTACTGAACTAAACTTTACAGAGATGGAGATAACGGCGCGTGGCTCTGGTGTTAAACACGTTTAATGTTCCTGTTTGCAACAATCTTCACAAGAAAGCAAAACAGTAAAATGACAGGGTTCGCACTGACAGGATATTTCCCGTATTTGATCGTTTATTTTGACGGAGAAACCTCAAGGCTGCAGATGCGCTGACATTTTTATCGTTGTGCACATCCTGGAGGTAGCTACACCAATCAAGAAAAGATTCCCATCAGAACACGTGAGATGGACACTGAGCTCAGCGCAGCTCACTGTCAGAGCGTACGTGAGGTGGACAGCGAGCTGAAGGTGTGTAGATCGGGGGCTTGGAGCGCGTCGCAGAACCAGAGCGCATGCGGGAAGGTTCCTCTCACTGAAGAGAGCGTTTTCCAAACCCGGTCTCTCAGAGAGACTTGTCACTTAGAAAATGTTCCCTGATTATGAAACTTTGGCTGAATGGCGCTTGTTCCTGTCTCCAACGTGGCGACACATCCATGAGTCTGTCGGAGGAAAAGTCCAGAATCTCACATCCTCTTCAGCTCAGAAAGCGCCTATAGAGACATCTGATTACGCAGAAGCAGGTGACCTGTTCAGGTTTACGCAGACAATCTTTACATTTAAAATTGGCATACAGATAAAAATGAATGCAGTAAAATAAAATATATTTCAATTAAATATTCATTAATTCGTTTACAAGCAGAGAGTCTCATCAGATGGATGAAAGAGCCGCGGGTTGCCGACCCCTGGGTTAGGTGTTGGGTGGAGAGGTGTGCTAACCTGGGTCGATGGGTCGTATGTAGCGGTCGTTCTCATGGCCCGGGTGTTACTGCCATGGCTCAGCTCAGTTAGAGCAAAACATCCAAAAGTCTAAGAAAAGACCATCACAATTTAACCGCAGCAGGAAAAAGCTTCAGACATTACCCAACCGCTCAAGTTCAGAACCCTTAATACCACAACAGCCTCAGTTTGGAAAGCAATGGCTGTTCATATCCAGATCGACAGTCCCGACGAGGACAGTGAGCTCTGCGAGTCGTCTGGTCTACAGACTAGAATCTGGGACTTGGATCACCTCATGCATCGCCTAATGAGCACAAGTAGAAGAAGAAGAACGAGGAAGAGGAAATCGGCAAAAATCCAATTTCATTTTTTGGGGGGAGGGGGCATAAAGAAAATAGCTGTCTCTTGCTGTTATGCAACTTGCAGGACGGGCCTCCAGCATGGGCAAGTTAACCAGCTGATCAGAGGTAAGATGTCAGCATATCAGTAAATGATACAGAGTGCAACTCCAAATCCTGCTCCTACTAATTTCTTGTTCCTGAAAATGGAGCGCCAGAGCTTTTCCCCAAAGAGAACAACTCACAAGGCATTCATTTATACTAGAGACCAACGCTGATGTGTGGGAAAAACCAGTGAACTTCGAAAAAGTAAAGTACTACGTTTCTAGAACCTTTAACAATAAAGAGAAAACACCATCTAAAAATATAACGTAAAAATAAAATGTGACTATAGTAACATGATAGCTGTTAAAAATCCAAAAAGTTCCCATCAAATAAATATTAAATAAACACAAAGCTGTTGATTTATTTTCTGTCCCTCAGTGAGCAGCAACAGAGATGATGGTACCTGCTGTATCAGTGTTACAACCTGGTGAAACATTAAAAACCAGGATGAATATCTGTCATATTTACTACCTAAAACTCATGTTTTTAAATCATTGTCAGAAGTTAACTTCAACCCGCTGCTCATCTGAAACATTAAACAGATTTATAGATGTCTAGAGAAAGTATCCAGTCTGCCTAATACCTGTTAAAATGGCCACCTATTAGCTTTATAAGGATTTAGCATTTCTCAAACTTCATTCCTAAAGCAGTTACTAACATGTACTTCAAATAATATATATTAGTAACAAAATAGCTCTTGATACCTTTCATTTCAATGATGGCTGGTAAGAATAATACTTAGACTAGGATCAATGATATTGTTGCTATGTGAAAATAGAAATGAGGCTAAAAAAGGTGTGATTAATGATTAAATGTTAAAAGGGCCTGCCACAGGGCTACAGGTCAGTGCTTTATTCATTAGCTGCTAGGCTACTTCCACATTATATAAACAACGTTGCTCTGTTTCCTTCTACTTCAACAAAAAGCAGCAAAAGCTTTGATTTGTTTTCGGCGCTTTTGTAATCTGCCAACCTGGAGAATGTTTAACAAGCTGTGAGACTGCTGTAGGGTGGGGAGACGCAGCTCCTTCACGGGGACATTTTATTGGGAACTTAACAAAATTTAGCAGAGAAAAAGATGTTTTTCAGCACCTGTTCAACAAGTGGTGTGGTTATTAACTTACTCACCGTTTTTGTCATTCTGCGTCCTCTCAACTCTTACGTAAAGAAAGCAAAAGTGAGGCCAAGAACAGCGGCAGCTGCCAGTGCGGAGCAGCTTGTGGACTGTACCAGTTTGAGGATTAGTGGAGGGGGCGCGGTCATAATCTTTGAATGAATAAAAACACGTTGTTTTGTGGGTTTACAGACAGCTTTTCACGGTCTGGTTTTAAATCTCTTTTGAAAACCTATTTTTATGATTAGGCTTTTAACTCAGCACGAGAGACTTTTTAGAGTTAGTTCTTAAGCTTTAGTTTTTATGCATTTTTATGTTGTGTATTGTTTATTAACGTTTTAATCTCTGTGAAGCGCTTTGGTCGGTTTTATGTTGTTGTAAGGTGCTATACAAATAAAGCTGCCTTGCCTTAAATGTTTTGCGGTTATGCTCTGCTTTCATTGGACAACACTTGTCACTGTCAAATATGTTCATATGCTCAATTTTTTTTTGAAGGGACAACGATATGCCAGAGAGGGACATCCCCCCCGGGATTTTCGCGTGTGTCCTAAAGCGCACAGTTTGACTCGTTAACCCTGGATTCAGACCACAATAGTCCACTTAGGTCCTGGTCCTGCTAGTCTGTTATGTCAGAACTAATCTGTTAATCTCCAAACTGAGGCCATTCACACAGCTTTCTGCATCTGGTATTAAAGATTCTGATTATTTCCCTCTAGTCACTGAAGATGGACTCTTACCGTCATGTCTTCGGTGTCTTTAACATACTTGTTGTGTCTGCTTGATCCTGAGCTAGCAATGGTGGAACCAAACATCTGGAACGAGACGTTTGAGAGTTAGAAGGACCAGATTGAGACCCATTCTATGAGATGCTGAGACCTGCCAGGAAAAAAAACATTTAATGAAGTAAAAATAAAAATTCAGCCTAAAGTTTAGAAAGTGCAGCAGGTGGCTGACATCGTGATGCAGGGACCTGTCATGTCCTCGGTGGGATGCTGCAGCTCCACTTGTTCTTCAAACACATTCAACGACTGTCGCTCTGTAACCTACAGATCTGATCCATGTGCACAGAAACTAAACACAGCACCACCTGGTGGCAACAAGAGGCCATGACCAGAGCTATGACTGCTGGGTTTGCAGTTTTGGTTCATCAGCCCTTCTGAGGGACACCATCTGTACCTGTGTCTATAAGTGTGGAGAAACATTAACATGTGTGAATGATCAGATGTGCTCTCAGTGTTCTATGCTGTTACAGGAAAAGATTCAAGGAATCTAATATGTAAAACATTAAAAACAAATGTGTATTTTTTATTTTTTTGTGAAGAAAATCTAAATTTTCCTTCCTGACATCTTCTGAGAATCGTCGCAGTGTTCTGTACACACACAAACACCTAGAATAACTACAATGTCATTAAAATGTTTCAGTAAATTATAAACCTGCTCCTGTCCTAAATGAGACTCAGTTCATTTATATAGAACCTACTCAGAACACAAATCATCTCAAGGCAATTCACAACACAAACATTCCAACTGAACCTACTTAACACTGATTGTTAATTGTGCCAATGGGTTAAAATTTTCCAAAGAAAAACAAAAGGACTGCATGGAGTCGCTGACTTGCAACATCGACTTTGTCTTTACTTTTGTCTTTACAGCAATCCTCATACTAAGCAAGCATGCAGCGACAGTGGAGAGGAAAACTCCCTTTTAACAAGAAGAAACCTCCAGAGGATCCTGGCTCAGTATAAGCAGCCATCTGTCATGAAAGACTGGGGGTTTGAGAAGACAAACAAAACTAAACAGATGAACTGGAGTAGGGGTACTTTCTGTGTTAATGTTGGAAAGGCCACCAGGTGGCACACTTGCACACTCAGCTCTTACTCTCTCAGAGCAGAGCTGGCAACAGTACAGAGGAGACCACGGAGCAGAGCAGGTGGAGAAGCACATGAGACAGCAGAGTGGAGGAGAGTTTTACTTAGCTAGTTCCCAGGTTAAGTCAGTTTTGTGTGCGTGAATGACTGCTAAGTAAGTAATCCTTTGTTTACTGGACCTGCTTACATAATGTGTTAGGAATAAGTTTGTTTACCTCGTGGTGTTCTGGAATGTTCCTATGTCATAGTTATGCTTGATAGTTCTGTCATGAATCTGCACTGCCTTATTGTATGAGTGTAGGTCCCTGTTGCCTATTTTATGCATGTGTGTAGGTTGCAGTGTTGGATGTGAGGTGGTTTATAGCTGTAAAAGTGGGTAATTTGGTTTAGAATCTCGGAATATTTGAGTGTTGGTAAATCCCTCAACTGGCCACTAGATGTCCTCCTTGTAACATGTCTGCCCTGGCAGTTTACCCAGAGGGTTTTTAGCTTGTGTGGCCATGTAGACTGGGTTGTTAGACCAAGGTAATCTGGACCTGCTGATATTATTTTCTGTTTACAGGGTTTTTTCTCCTATGTTGTTGTATTTGAACAAATGGGGCAGAATATATTTTGTGTTAATCTGTTCTTCCTGTATTATTCTTTCCTTTAGACCACACACTGACCTACCAATATCCCTGTTAATGTTAATGAGTTGAATACTCATTGCTCAGCCCTGCATCACTGTTCTGCGTGCCCCTGTGCATTGCTGTTGCTACTACTTTTCACGTGAGAATAAAGAGGCCAAGTTGAAATAAAGCCTGAACCTGTGTTCTTACCGACACCCCAGGAAGACACCCTTTAACTCCCTCCCTGATACAGTCCATCTACCTACTAACAATCTAACAGTTAAAGTGATTCAAAAGTCAACAAGAGAAAGCAAATGTTTAGTGGATGGCAGCCACTGGCCTCCTTCATGAAGGCATCAAGGCTGAACATCTGAGCAGATTCATCCAGGGAGCTTAATTGGCCCAGAGGCTGATGGACTATCTACAGATTGTTTCTGAACCAGAACAGCAACACAGTCAGTGTTTCTATTAACAGAACTGTTAGGGTCACTCAGCGCCACACAGCTGGATCAGAAGGCTCAACATCAGATGGACCTTCTGAGGAGGTTAACTTGATCCAGCAGCATCCTCAGAAACAGCTGTTAGTCAGTGCATTGGGACCAGCATCGCTGTGTGGTTTGAAAGCTCTGCTGCAGAGCGAGTGGTGAAGATGATCATAGAAGATCATCACCCTTTGAAGAGGATTATAACTACAGAAGGGTTTTCTCTTACCCAAAAGCAGATTTTCATGTATCTTCATCGTACAGGGAAACTTGTCTCCTCACTGTGCCGACTACCATCTACTCAATGCTCAAATGTTCTGTGCTACATTCAGGAATCACCACATTCTGGAAATGAAAGCCCAGACTCACCCCTAAGTTAAGGAAGAACTTGGCCACCAGAGCCCAGTCATACATGCCAAGACAGTCGTCCAGGATAACAGCCTTCCACGGGTCCGCCATCATCTCTTCTTTCGTCAGGAAATTGTAGCGGAAGAGCTGCTTCATCCTACAGAGTCCATCTTATTAGTCCCTCCGGTTCCTACTTAATTACAGGTCATCTAGACAGTCACAAGGGTGATACCTGAGGAAATTCAGCTCTCTCTTCTTATCCATGGGGATGTCCTCCCCGGGCTGACGAGCAAACAGAGGATCATTTTCCAGGGTCTGGAACACGTGTTGCTACAGCAGAGGGCAAGATTTAGGACAGGAAAGGGACACATTTTAATGTTGGACTCAAGGGAAAAATTACTTTAGTTTCTTTTAGTTGGACGTAGGGCTGGGCGATATGGCCTAAAATCACGATATATTGAGGATTTCACCTCGATAATGATAAATGGACGATAACTACCGGAATGTGCAGAAACTAAAGTTGTCCACTAGATGGGGCTGTCACATGAATTACATTGAGTTACATTTTTATGCAGACTCAAGGTGGTACAGCTTCTTAAAGGGACATGAACACTGCCAACCTACACACATTATTCATTTTTTCATTATCAGATTTATTGACACGGGAAAAATTATCTCGAAAAGAGTCAGAAATTTCGATAATGATACATTTTCAATTTATTGCCCAGCCCTAGTTGGATGACATTAAAGATGGAAGCCTTGATTTACCACAACTACCACTTGCTGAGGTGAGTTCTGCTAAACCAGACCTTAAAGTGAGGGTCAAGGCCTGTTCATCCACACTTCCTGTTAGGAAAACGCTTTTGAAAGAGGCGTCTCCGGGTGGACCGAGAGAGCGGCACTGAGGCAGTGGTAGACCGCACCACAACCCCCTCAACCCCCCCCCGCGTGTGCTGTTGGGAGTTTCTCAATCTAAAAACGAGGTGTTAACGAGCAAGTGCACGCAAGCACGCGCTCACACAAGACTTACCGCTCAGGAGAAGAGCAGACACAGATTCTGCAGCATTCTGGAGGATTTCCTGTTAACCACGATCATAAGATGAATAAGGGGAGGAAGGCATTTTTTTTTTCCAAGGAGGCGAGCGGCTCCGAGCGCTAATGTGTCATATCGGCAGGTGAGTGGCTGAGCCAGGTGGAGGTGCGGCTGCCTCACCTGGGGACCACTGCAGTGCAGCCACGTAGTAATTTACTGATAACGTCACGTTTTTAGCTTAGCCATCAACCACAGCTGGTTCTACATAAACGTGGAGCAGAGTTTTTAACCTGAAGATGGAGACATAATTATGGTTTTGGGCTGAAATATTACATTTGAAGTAAGTTGCACTAAACTGCCATGTTAATGATTACACATGTGTACAGCACCATTAGACACTCCTCTATACAGGTTATCAGCAAAAACAGTTAATTTAGGCGTTACTTGCTCTTTAATCATTAATGCAGTCAGCGACTTTTGTGTTACTTTGAATTTCACGTTGTCTTCTCCATCAATGAAGTGGACCATGTCTCTCCAGCTGAACGAGCTCTTCTTCCTGTAAACATCAAGTGGACCGCTGGGGAAGAACGCCTCTTCTTTCTCCATCTTCTGTTTAGACTGCAGGGGTCAGAGTGTACTCTTAACACAGAAGCAAAGAGAGGAGGTACTTACGGAACTACATCCTGACCTGGGATCAGAGTCTGAACACACACATAATCAGTTTTACTTAGTAAGTCTGAATTTATGTGGACACCTTACCAGTCTGTTCATTAATGTCACAGCTGGAATGCTGTTGCTGCCAGGACTTTAGTCATCTACAGTAGCAGACAGCGGTGTCTGCAATTTAAAAAATTCTAATACGCCACATTTGTGTCAATAGATACCTAAACTGCAGTGAATTTTCTGGGTGGCCCGAGTGACTGTGAACAAATCAGAGCTCAAACTTGTATCCCTAACCCTGTATGGTGCAAGGGGTCAAAGTTCAGTGACCTCTGGACTTATTCTGATGGCTTCCTACTCCTGCTGGCTCGATCAGGTAAAACTTCACCACAGCCGGTCACAGGTAAAACAATAAAGACTGGCAGTCCAACGGAACACTCGCACAAATATTAATAATGAG